TCTACAAGTGGATGATACGGCCAGTCTCTGGAACACACCAGAGCTACCCTTAGTTGGCCACGAAAAAGGAGGAGAGGAGAAAGATGAGTCTGTTAGAGATGCGGTTGCCGCGGACTCGGTGGCATCAAATTCGCCTGCTCAAACACCTACAGTTTCTGCTGATGAGAAGCGTCAGAAACGGATACATCTTGTTGTGTTGACCCATGGATTACACAGCAATTTAGGAGCAGATATGCTTTTCCTCAAGGAGAGTATCGATGCTGCTATCAAGGCCAACAAGCAGAAAGCAAACAATAGTTCCTCGAGTCGTAGCGCAAGCAAGCCCACAGGACTATCCTCATCAGACTTGTAAGTAATTTCCCTCTATTGGAGGCGTTCTGCGTGGTTTTCGTCTTTAGAACGTGGCTTTTCTTTCCCGATTTCTTCGTGCCATTGCTAGGACTGGTGGTCTGACCGATAATAGTAGGCATGCTGGAGGCGACCAAGATGAACAAGTTATAGTAAGAGGATTTGCTGGGAACGCAGTGCGTACGGAACGAGGTATACAATACCTTGGTAAGCGTCTTGCGAAGTACATCCTTCAGATGGCGCATCTGGACATCCCCAGTCGTGCAACGAAGACGACATCTCACACTGGGCTGTTCTCTAATCGGAAGCGGCCCGCTGGCCCAGTTTCAGAACTTCCTCAGCATTGCTGCAGCAAGTCAGAGCAGTCAGTCTGCGAGGCTTGCGCTTATCAGATAACCAGTATCAGCTTCATAGGACACTCGCTAGGGGGCCTCGTCCAAACATATGCCATCGCATATATTCACAAGCACTTTCCCGCATTCTTCGACGAAGTTAGACCAATTAACTTTGTTTCTCTCGCGACGCCATTCCTTGGTCTCAGCCATGAAAATCCAATATATGTTCGGTTCGCCTTGGATTTGGGTCTTGTCGGTCGCACTGGGCAAGACCTTGGTCTTAGCTGGACAGCACCTAGGGTTCGAAGTGGCTGGGAGGCTCTAATTGGTGGGAGAGGAAATGCCAGTCAATCACAGGGATACGCAGACGCTCGGTCTAAACCACTCTTGAGAATTCTTCCCTGTGGGCCTGCGCACGAGGCGCTCTCAAAATTTCAACGTCGCACGCTTTATTCTAACGTGGTGAACGATGGAATAGTACCTTTGCGGACATCCTGCCTTCTGTTTCTCGACTGGAGAGGCCTTGATCGGGTCGAGAAGGCAAGAAGAGAGAATGGCTTGGTGGGCACGATGGCTGAATGGGGTTGGGCAGAGTTGACTGGCGCTAATTCGAAGTCTCCCCGGTCTCGGCCCAACGCCGAAGCACTGGCTGCTCTTGGTGACGCTTTTAGTGACAGCAAGCCGACGTCGCGCGTGGAAGAAGTTTCTTCGTCGGGGATCAATTGCACCATCGCCGAACGCCCTGTAGTTACTTCGACCAGTCAGCCTGCAATCGAACGGCCGTGCCCTACTTCTCCTGATGCACTCGCTAATTCAAAGGGGGGAGGGACATTAGTGGAACCGCATTTGTCTAGCACTCTAGCTAAGCTATTTTCATTCATTCGTCCGAAGGAGACTGAGAGCCCGTCTGGCTGGCCAAAGCACACCAAAATTTACAAGCGCAGTCAGACCATTGCAACGCCCAATTCGGTTGCACACTCTTCTAGCTCACATTATCGCGAAACCCTTGTTGGTGGGCAAAACCATGAATATGGGCTTTTTGCCCCCCCCAAGACAACCTTCTTCGAGTCAGCAAGTGATCTCCTCATGCCTCCTCTTCCTCCTCTTGAATTTATACTCGACCCTACGTCGAGACCCAGAACAATATTTCATGATCGCATATATCATCCCGAAGACATACCGCCACCAATGGTTTCCAAGCGACGAGCATTTACACTCGCGCCTTCACAGAGAAGGCCAACTAATCATGCACTCAATTCTTCGGAAGACCCTTTGCATGGAGAGCTTGGCAACTCTAGCGAGGCCCAAAGCGGCCTTGGGGTCGAGGAGAAGATAGCCAGGGCTTACCACCGAGATTTGTCTTGGCGCAAGGTCCTTGTGCGTCTTGAGCCTGATGCACATAACAACATTATTGTACGGAGAATGTTCACAAATGCACACGGGTGGCCGGTCGTACAGCATCTTGTTGAAAGCCACTTTGGACATGCGGAATCATCCCAGTCTGGTAAAGCGAACTCCGAGAGTCACCACGACCAAGATTGGGACGAAGACATCACACCTCTGGCTGGATCTCAGACATTGTAACTCGTACCTTAACATCTGGTACGAGACCTGACGGTAGAATGTATTAGTCTCGTGCTCCGTGATATGCTGGTGCGACCTTGGCCTTATTGGAGGAAGGCCAAGGTACTTGGAAACCGGCCTTGGAACTGGGAGGCAGTAACCCTCTCCAATTCTAGAATTTGAACAATATTCTCATGGATCGTGGAAGTCGTAGTAGATGATTCTCGACTCGTTTGAAACCATGCATTTTAATCTACTACAGTGGTTGAGGAGAATGTGCACTCCACCTATGACCTATGCATCAGTATGGCTTAGGGCGCCTTGCCATTAATTCTGCTGGCAGACTTAAAAAGTGTAAATAGTTTGAGCTAGACGATTGAAATTGAACCACCATTAGATGAGGAGGGAGGTGTACGCACACATTTCACCAGGGACTGTAGCACGCAGCTCAGTGCCCGTGGCCTTGCACCCATGGTCACCCATGGTCTTGCACACCGATGAATACCCAAGACTACTATCCACTACATTGTAATAAGAAACGTTCTCGAATTATGCTATGCCTCACTGATCATCTTCTGATTTACAGTGACAAGTTCAACAGATTGGTCCACAATATGACTTCACTGGCTCATAAATTTAAGTGAAGAAAGAGCCAATTGACCATGCTGGGCGGGCACCTATCATCAACGCACGCACTTCGTACCGTACCTTTACATAGCACTACGGAGGTACTGTACAAGCGGGTAGTGAGTGGGGGTGGGGAGGATGGACAAGAAACTGACTGGCGAAGAAGAAAAATTCAACAACAAGCAAAGACAGCAAAGCAGGGCATCCAGGTGCGAGGGGCACAGAGACATAGTGAACATAGTTTCTTACAATCTTCTTTCTTGGTCCTTTGTATTGATCTCGAGACATCCAACCATTTTTCACAATGCCCACTGAAATAGAAGAGGTAGGCACATACTGCACCATATACATCCTTGACCTGTGTCCAAGACTCTTAGCGGCTAATGTTCTACTCGCACTTGCACAGCTCGTCGAATTTCTGCACCATGGCAATACTCAGATAAGACAAATTGGTATATATTGACCGATATCCCTCGCAGCTGCTACTGAGTCGAGATCCGTTATGCTTCCGTCTTCCCCATTGCGTGCCTACCCTTGTCACGACTACTTGGCTCGACATAATCCTGACATCTGCTTCAATAGCGTGCGAAAACCTTGTTGGTTTCTCAACCGCCCAGCCAGAACTCTTTAAGCGCCAGCAACTCTTGCCGGTGCGGGATCTCAAGCTTCTGGTTCGCGATTATGCAGTCAGTGCCTCTAGCTCACCCTCGATTGTCTACCTGCACTTGCAGAGGATTACTAACGTTGACCCGATGGGATTGTTGACCAAAGCCAATTGCCAAAAATGCCTTGACAATACTCATCAACCTTTCCGCAGATGATGAGGTGCTGACCAATCTTGCGGAAGATGACGCTTTCCTTGAGACTCTTCTTAGGAAAATAACCGTAAGTTTTTAACTTGAATTACTCCCTCGCTACACCGAGGATCCAAATCTAAGCCATGGGATATGACAGAACATCAAGGAACCTAATGCAGATGACTTTGCCATGCTTTTCGCCAATTTATCGAAATCCAATAAGATGGAAAGGCTGCTTAGTCTCAAGCGACAAGCACCAGAGGGAGTCTCCAAGTCATCTAACGCGATGGACCAGCTGATGGACTGCTTTGTGAAGGGAGCCGAGAATGGTCTCAACAAACATGCAACATTTGACTACCTGTCTTATCTTTTTGCTGACCTATCCAAATCTGAGGTCGGGCGAGCATATTTCACTTCGCGGCAAGAGTATGATGACGTTGTGCCAGTGACAAAGCTCACCGTGTTCACAGAGCACAGAAGCACCATCCGGAGAAAGGGGGTAGCGTCCACGATAAAGAATGTCGCATTTGACGTCCCCTTTCACCCCACACTCTTGTCCGAGGATGAGGCCAATATTCTTCCCTACATATTGCTGCCAATTACTGGTCCAGAGGAGTATGCTGAGGAGGAAGCACTGGAAATGCTGCCTGACCTACAGCTGTTGCCGCCTGACAAACAGCGAGATACCGACACCGGTATCATCGTAACACACATCGAAACGCTTTTGTTGCTCACCACAACACGAGAAGGGCGCGACAGGATGAGGGCTGTTCAAGTGTATCCAATCATTCGAGAATGTCACCTCCACGTCAATAATGAGGATGTGCGTGATGCCTGTGATCGCCTAGTCCAAGTTTTGATGCGAGATGAAGAAGGCGAGGATAAAACAAGCCAGCTCCTGGCGGAAAATGCAACCGACACCTTGACTACAGCCCCCTCAGGCGATGATCAGAACGTTGTGGAGATATTCTAGGTAGATCCGTGTAATTAAGGCTTCCGGAATACCGGAATCGCACGGGGTTGGAATTAAAGTGTATTGAGCTCTAATTCTAAGCAAGTATTGTTAGCATAGAAACAACGTTTCCTGGGCAATTTATTGACTCCGGTAACACGTAGACATATGGCGGTAAATCTTCATTCCAACTATATACTGCGCATAAGCAACAGAATCTGCCAATGATACAATGTCTCGCGTATGAGGTCTTTGCATGACCTTTCGACCAACAAAGGCTGGTCGCAACAAAGGCCGGTCGCAACAAAGGCACCTGCTTACATAACCCACTCCCTGCAGCAAGGTAGACACCAGTGTTCATCCATTCATACCTCTACCTTTCTACTCCATTTTACATTTCATCTCACTCTTTACTCCATTCTAAGGTTCATCTTACTTTCTATTCCTCTTGAGATTCGTGCTGGTACATCTGACCCAAGTATCACATTTGAAGTCCTTTACTCACCTTCGCATCTAAGCATCATCAATATTGCTGGCTCAATCGCCATCAAGCCTGAATATCAAAGCCTGAACACCCGTCACAGGCTACCATGACCCCTCCACCAAATGAAACAGCCCCGCGAGCTCAAACAGGCGCAAATGGACCTCAACCGATGAGGATTCGGCGACCAAAGGTGGCAGACCCTCTTGTACGACCGAAGCGAAGACCGATAGCAAAGCCGTCTACTTTGACATCTGCAAATGGTGGCCTTAAGCTCCCTCAATCCAAGCAAGCCACGCCTAGCACTTTGTCGACGGTCAGATCCGAGAAACCAACCAGGGTGAACTCTGGAAATGACTTCTCAATAAATGGGTTTAGTGGACCTTTGTTAACGGAAACATTTGTTGATTATCCTATCGTGACGACTAAACGAGCGATAAGAGAAGGGCTGAAGCATCACATTGCCAGATTCTCAAGTAAGAAATCAGTCGACCCTCGGGACGAAGCCCAGTTCACTCGACCTGTGAGGCTTCAGCGTCGAGATCCCCGGACACGTTCGCATGAAACTACCGCTGAAAAAGGCTTGGGCAATCAGCGCACAGGCTCCGAGTCCGCTAACCAGGGTGACGACGCTGACCGCGAGGAGTTGGAGGCTAGAAAGGCTGCCCGAGAGAAAGAACGTGCAGACAACATGGCTCAAATAGCCCCTTCCATGGGCTCGGCGCCGAAAAGAGCAAACGCTCCCAAACAGAAGACGCAGCAAGTCTCTAGGACTGATATGACACCCGAAGAGATTGCCAAAACACGCATTAAGTATGAAGAAGCGTTGCCGTGGCATCTGGAAGATTTCGACAACAAGAATATCTGGGTTGGCAATTATGAAGCTGCTCTTTCTGAAACCCATGCAGTTTTTATCGTCGAGAATACGGGGCAGATGAGGATGGTTCCTGTAGAGAAATGGTACAGGTTCAGTGCGAAGAACCAATTCAAAGCCCTAACCATCGAGGAAGCAGAAAGGTTCATGGCGAAGAAGGTGAAGGACCCGAGATGGTTCATGGAGAAACAACAAGAAATGGCTCAGCGGAAAGAACTGGAACAGTTTGCCAAACAGCAAAAAGTTTATGCCGGGAAACAAGGTACCGCCGGCGGCGCCGAAGGGTTGGAAGCCGATGACATGGATTTCGAAGAGGATCGCTTTGCCGATGATGAAGAGCATGACGACCTTTTCAACGAAGATGAGGAAGCAAAGGCGGCTGAAAAGAGAATTAAGCAAGATCAGTTGAAGGCGAATGTCTTCAACCTCAAAGAGGAAAAGGATTACGAGGATGAGGAATTGAGAGAGAAGAAAGAGAGGGAAGCGCGTCGAGTACTCGGCAAAAAGGTACGGAAGGCACTTCAGAAAAGAGAGAAGAACTACGATTACAGTAGTGGCTCGGACATCAATCCATACTCGGACGAAGAGGTAAGACTTCCCAATTATACAGTGTGCTATCACATTGTGACTAAACCCCTTTAGAGCTCCGATGACAGCGAAGCCGAGCGGATGAAGGAACAGGAGCGCAAGGCCGAGGAGGAGAAAGACAAGAAAGAGACTCTTTCCAAGGGCAATACCACACCTTCTGGCCGAACAAAGCACACCGACGCTCTGAAGAAAGTAGCACCCCGAAAACGTCTGGGATCTCCTTCAGATGCGAGTGGCACCGATACCTCTCGCAAGAAGGGTAAGAGCAAGTATTCTTTCCAGGCCTCGCAGCCTACATCTCTTTCCGTGTCTGGAACGCCCTCGGTGGCTCCTGTGAGTGCATGATTTGATCGCTTAAGTGATTTCATCTCTAATGCAAACGCAGGTAAGCAAAAAACGTGTTCGCCATATGCAGCTTGGGGGAGCAGGTTCTGCAAGCGATCTGGAGGGTGGCGCAGGATCTGGTGGAGAGGTAGGGGAAAGTGGAAAAATCAAGAAATTGAAGCTCAACCCTTCCTCAATGACACCACAAAGTGGTACGCCGCAAGGATCTAGGGCAGGAAGCCCAGTTCCCTTGAGTAATAGAGGCTTTTCCGGGAGTCGTGCGAGCAGTCCGGAGCCGTTGAGGGGTATGTTCAGATCCATAATGTGTCTTCATGCTTCGCAAAAGGTATAGTGCTGACAATTGACTTCCCACAGGTTCGACGCGCATCTCTACGCCAGGGCCTTCAAGCATCAGCCAAGGCTTCCCTACACCTGCTGAGATTCATGCCGCTATTCCACCGACTGGAATTCTAAGCAGCGATTTGCTGAAGATATTCCGTCCTCGTATTGGTGAATCTAAGGAGAACCATAGAAGATTCATAGCGATTGTTAAAGATGTCGGGGTGTATGGAAAAGAGGACCGGCTCCTACGGCCCGGCATTTTGAAGGAAATTTAGCCTTCGATGATTCTTCACTCAACCCTGCCTACTACAAGCGTCAATGACTCAATTTATGAAATGCAAAGAATATTACCGTGAACATAATTCCCTTTCTTTCCAGATGCTCAGAGCAGAGCAGATGAATCATCTGTAAAGCGGGCTCAGCTGGAATATGTTATGTTATCTTCGCTCGGTGCTTAGAGCAACATAATTAACATACTTGTAGACACATGGCAGCTCATTTGGATTGCGATTCTATGATTTCTATCTATATGTGGTCGTAATACAAGCTATAGACAGAGAACTCTTAACATAACAATTCTTGGGGTTTTTGTGGGGCTCAAGGTATTACCACTGAAGAGTTCTTCTAAGTGACAACGGTCCTTTGCCTAGAGGCTCTTAGGAATTATAGTACCCTGATCTTGTGTAATGGTCAATAAGATTGAAGTGATTATCGGTTACTACCTTACCCACCGGCTCAGTGAGATAGCAATAGGAAAATTGTAAGCGATTTGAGGCACTCAGGCGCGCAACATAGAGCGATTTCTTAATCCCCTGGTGGTTCTTAATAGTTGAATTGTCTGAGATATTAACATGTGAAGCAGCCTGGTAACTGCATTGGATCATGTGGCTAGATTGCTCACGAACGCCGACAAAAACACGAGGCGTCAATAGCACATCTCTATGAAATAGCTTCCTGGACATCTGGCACCTTTAATGATCTCTCAGCACTGGCAACTGATGCAGACATAGCTGGCAAATGATCCACCAATATGTAAGTCTAATCAAGAAGACATGCCCACTCATTCAGGAACAGGAAAATATAAGCTGGATTAGAATGGATGACAAGAATAAAGCCTATGTACTATAACGTTCTAAATCTCTAGCTTCGACCCGCGCTCTCATTTCCCTCCTCGTATTTGTCCCAGTTGGCCAAGATGTGAGCGATTCTGGGCGAGTTTGTGAGACGGTAAACGTCCTCGAAATATTCCTTTGTGATCTCAAATGGCCTTGCTGTAACGTTGGGAATGTATTTTCCGACCAGCTTACTGGGATCAATGGTGGTCTTGTTGATTTTCTTGAGCAGGAATGATCGGAAAGGCTTGACACCAGACCGAAGGAAGGTGCTGTGGAATGGTACGTCGATACCTCTCAAGGGAATGGTGGCGAAGCCGCGCTCAAGCGAGATGGGCCTAGGCTTGGACTCTGTTTGCTTCACACACTCGTCAATCATCTTGACGAGATGCGACTTGACGTCCTCCAAGGACATGCTTTGCATAAGAGCGGGAATGTCAATGTTTTGGGCCTTAAGGTAGTTGAGTAGATTCGTGAGACAGTCAAGCGCCCGTAGCTAGTCATGAGGTCAGCAATGTCGAGCTATCGACGATCAGACGGGGAGACACTTACATCACCAGCAGCAACATATTGCATATTGGCAACATTGTAATTGACAATCTCCAGAAGCCAACCAGTTTGCTCTGAGATATTTTCTACGACATACTGAAGGGCTTGTTCATTGAAGGTCTTCGAGATGCGGCTCGGGTTAACGGCACACATCGAGTAGTTTGAGCGACCTTGCTCGTCTCTTTCCACAGCCACCTGCATTGTCAATCCACGATAGAAGACAACTGAAACCAAGCTTTCAATGGGCATGACATCAGCGAGTGCTGCCAGGGCCGAGTATTCACCAAGAGAGTGACCAGCAAAGCTGCTGTCTCTTTGGACAAGCCCCTTCGAACGCATGTCTTCAAAGCTTGCCTTTTCCATCAATGTAAGGGCAGGCTGTGTGAATTGGGTCGCAGAGAGAAGCCCTGACGGTGAGCGGTAAGTATAAGATGTAGTCTCTTCGTCGATTTCCTTGAAGATCTTCTCCGACTTGATGGACCCGTCCGCGTTGACAGTTTCAAAGGTCATTGACATATAATTCTGACGGATCGCTTTACCCCGGGGGCCTCCGAAGTAAACTGTGAGTTCCTTGGGATTGTTCTTGACAATATCGATGATTGACAGACCGTAATTCTCGATGAAGTGACGATCTGCGCGATCCCAGACCTCTCTTGCAACTGGGCTACTGGCATAGAGTTCCATACCCATTCCCTGCTCCTGGGATCCTTGTCCGGTGAACACGTAGGAGGTGACAGGCTGCTCCACCTCGGCCTCGCCAAGAAGGACCTTCTCTTCGGTCTCTTTGTTACTAGCCTCAACCTTGATGATCTTGCGACCGGCAATCATGCCGACATGCTGCAACTTGACAGTGATGATGTCGTTGGGTAGGACCATGCCCACTAGCGAGACATGGAAACCTCTCACGCGCCCAATGTTGTTCTCTGCGGCCCATGTTTCAACGTAGCTGCGAACGGCAGCACTTGTGTACATACCATGGGTGATGGTGCCTGGTAATTTGGCATAGCTGGAGAAAACCCGGGACACATGAATGGGGTTGTAGTCGCCCGAGACACGAGCATAGGTCTCGTTGGACGCAGGAGCACGCAAAACCAGCGGAGTCTTTCCGCTAAGGGGGATTGGGTTCTCAAAGTAAACTGGCTGCTCGATGGAAGTACCATTGCGCTGGAGGTAATCAATCACAGGATTTCCATGAGATGTACCTGCCTCATAATCCACAGAAGCTACCTGGATGACCTCCTTCGTCGGCAATTCCAGCAGCACCTGACCTACAGTCTGAACGTTGCTGAAGACGGTCTTGTTCTTGAAGCGAATCAAACTCTGAAGGCGGAAAGTCAAGGTCTGGCCCAGCAGTTCGACATCACTTTCATCCATGCGGAACCACTCTTTCGAGCGGAGAATGGCTACATCTCGGCTTGATGCAAGGTGAACCTGCATAGGCACCTCGTCCTTGCGTTGGAAGGTGTTCTCAAAGTCCAGGTAGGCACCACGGTACAGGAACTGACTGGTAACATGCATGATCGGCTTGCCATCTCTGAGAATAGTGCCACAGACCTCGACCATCTTGCCGGAGTCTTGGTTGATGACCGAATTGATTTGAGCCGAAGTATCCAGGACGTCCCCGACCTTCAATGGCTGAGCCCCAGGAACCATTTTGAATCCATTGGATAAATGAACCAGCTTCAATAGGTCACCATCGATGGTACGAGGGAAGATAGGTTTGGTGATGGCCTTCCAACCGGCAACGATGGCAAAATCCATGGGGGCGAACACCTCTTTGCCAGGTCGGTCCACGAAAGCCTCACCAGTGTTGCCAACAGCATGAACAAAGTCAGCTACAGCTTGCGACGTGATTGTCTCACGTCCACCGTTGAAAGTGGCAGTCGTCGGTGTATCAAAAGGAACATCCTTGTTGCCAAACCAGACACGATAATAGAACTCCTTGATGCGATCGTTGCGGCCTTCCATGACCTCCCTGATGGGTGCGTACCCTGCCTCAGGGTGATACGTGAAGAGAAATGTTAAGGGAACGACAGCAGCCTCCGCGGTCCTACCCTCAAAAAGAGTAAGGCTAATTTGATTGTTGTCGTTCATCTTTACCTCGACCGTTTTGACCAGTTTGCCGGATTGGTAAGGCTCCCGCACGATAATACTCGTCTTGGATGGGTCATTTGGATACGAGATTTCCACGTACATGCCTGCGACGGGTGCGACTATGCGTTTCAAGGGATTGGCATCGAAACGATGATCCTGAACGAACACGTCTGCCAAGAACAACGCATGTCTCCAGGAATACGCTGAGCCAGCAAGGACACGAAGCCAGCGATCCAAACCAGGCAAGTCCGCCGAGGGAGAAGATGACAAGCGGTAGGTGATCTTGTCACCGTCTTCCGCGATTGTTAAGCCGTCAATATCTTGCTCATCGTCGGTTCTGTCGAACAGTCCCCCAAAGTACTCGATGACAGGCACTTGCGTCTCGTCTCCGTTGTACACATCCTCTATCAGGCTCTTCACGTGACCCTGATGGATACCGTCCAAGATGTCCCGGACAGGCTCGTCAATAATAGTTGAGAACTTGGCAGCCATGGGACCCTGGAGGATACATGTCCTTCCGACGTCCTGCCCCACAACAGCCTCCAAATCCTCGCTCTGCCAGAGAGAGTCTTTCTTGAACCAGTACTCGAAATTCTCATCCAAGGAAGGTACAAAGGGAACGGGCTTCTGTCCCCGACGCTGGCAGAGTAGTAAGAAATGCTGAACGTCCTGAGCGTTGATCAACTGAGTGGCTGCCTCAGGGTAGGCAGCCAGGATGTTGTCAATATTAGGATAGGGAGCATTCAGCTCAGAATAATTTTGAAGAAGAGATGGCTGGCCCTCACTTGTAGTGAAGCGTTCCTCAACACGGCGGATGAAGTCGCCAGTAAGCTTCTTCAGAGACTCATCGATCCATCTTGACTCATGCTTGACATACATGAGATCTACCATGCGGTGGACGACTTCAGTGTAGGTCATGTCTTCGAGGTCAACGGTTTCGCCAGCAGCGTTGCGGCCGAACCAGACCTTATGGAAATCATCGTTCAGCTTCTTGATAATGTAATTGCGCTGCTTCTTCAGCTCCGGGACGCGCTTGGCCTTGTCCAATTTGAAAATCTTCTGGTCCATCTCGTGCCAGAACAACACACCCCTAGTGGCTAGCTTGTGAATCGGCTCACCCATTTCAGACAGGACAGTAACCACGCCTCCTGCGGCTCCCTTGTATGTCTTCTCCCAATCTTTGTCATCGAGGCCAGGTGCATCAGCGATGGCCTTCTTGGCATTCTTCGATGTATGAGCCTCTTTGGAGATCATCATGCGGCTGCCAAACAAACAGCCATCGAAAGGCATCGGCGGGTACCCGAAGCCAGATGACCAGGTGCCGGAAAGATAGGGGTAGGTATCCTCGGAGCCACCAAAGCCGCTGCCTGCCACAAGGACAATATTCTCATGACGTCTGATACGACTGTACATCTGCAAAATCGGCTGATGGAAGTCCTCGAATGAGTGATGACCACCACCACGGCCTCCGGTCCACTGAAGAATGATAGGGAACTTTGGGTTAGCCTTGGCGATATTGATTACCTGTTGGATAGCATCAACGGAACCCGGTTTGAATGCGATGTGCTTGATCCCCAAAGTCTCGATGTATTCATTCGCCACTTCAATGGACGGAACACCGGCACCAATAGTCAGACCCTCGATCGGCACGCCTTCAGACCTCAACCTACCGACCAAGGGTATCTGCCATGCCATAGCACGAGGATTGACGTAAATCAAGTTGATCGTGATGCCACGACCGGGAGGGATGGCCTTTTCAATTTTTGTCACGGCATCAGTCATGGTCTTGGCATTGTAGTAACCGCCACCCGCAAGCTCGATATGGTAACCGGCGTTCATTGTAGCAGCAACAAAATCCCAAGCAACAGTGGTGGGTGTCATTCCGGCCACCATGACTGGCGGAATTCCTAGCAGTCGGCTCATCTTGGTGTCCACGAAAGTCTGGCCCATCGCGTTCTTTACGAGACGTGGCCCGTACTCCTTGACCCAATCAATGGCGTACTTAACGGAGTGTTCGTCACGATCGAATAGCTCAGGCTTATATCCCACTTCAGCGTTGGTGCCATCCATAGCTCCTGCAAGTACCACACGAACACCGGTTCCATCCTTGTTGCGGTTGGTCAGGACACCTAAGCCAGAGATGCCACCGGGTCCGAAGTCAACGATGTGTGTGGCACCAGGGAAGACTGTGGCTTGCTCCCAGTTGACAGCATCATGGGTTATCATGCGAACCAACGCCGGTACGATGTTGGCTTCACTGGTCTCGCGCAGGTCATCACCGGTCTTAGTGCCGTAAACGGGGATGGCGAGTGATCCGGGGGATATCTCCAACTCCTCCAGGTCTTCCAGGATACGGTCATAGGCCGGGTACAGGTACTGACTATGGAAAGGAGCGGTGATAGGGAGAAATCGGTTGACGAAGCGGACCTTGCGTTGGGTGTAAGGAACACGGTTCTGATCCAGACCTGTGGGCGCTTTGACCTTGCGCAGGCGCAGATTAAGACCATACAAAGACAAGGGAGGTCCAGTGACAACAAAGTTGCGAGCGCTGTTGATCAAGGAAATAGAAATATGGCGGTCCTCGGGAAGATGCTGGTTGGTCATATCAATGTGGTCTTGCACGGCTGCTCTTGGAAGATCTCGGATAGACAGCATCGGAGTGGGCGCACCCTCTCCATTCTCAATCGAGTCTTGTAGAACCGAGGGCGCAATAGATGTACGCGGATAGGCTTGCTGGCTGCGAAGACCAATCCAGAAAAGCATGGTCAATGCATTTTTAGAAGCCTGCTGGAAACTTTCCCAGGAAGTGGCGGAGGCGATTGCTGCTGCGGTGACCACTCCCTGCGAGTGGCCAGTGGTTCCACTGAATCTTTCGAGGACCTCACCGGGTGCTTTACCGAGGACCTTGCAGGTGACAACGAAATGTGCTAGCTGAACCAAGCCAATCAACGGCAAGCTGACGGGTGCGGACACAAGATAATCTGTGTCAGGTTGAGAATCCGGGTCCTGGAGCCACTGGATGATGTCCAGTCCTTTAGGGTAAAGCTTGTTGGCCTCGGGCTCACGCGAAAGGGATTGAAGCAACTCGGCAGAGGATGTGATCAGATCATCCACGAACGAGGGGTAGGTGGTATAAACCTCTCTTAACTCATCGAAATATTCTTCGATGTTACCTTGTCCCCCAAACACTGAATAGATGCTCGCCTTCTCCTCTGACGCGGCTCGGAAGAGGGCCGAATCGTAGGGTTTGGTAGGCCGCCCAGCGGCAGCTCTACCGGCATAATAGGCCTTGACGACTAACACCTTCTTCGAGGTGATGCCGGGAAGACCAGCAGCAACAGCGTGCACATCATTGCCGCGCATAAAAGCCCGTTCAAATTCGTTCAATGCCAATTTCAAAACCTCTAAGTAGGTGCCCTGGGCATCGTCTTCACCCTCTTCCACCTCCCGTGCAACATGGTCAATGTATCTTGCGACCAGTTCGGCGACCGAGGAGGGTTCATCGTCTTGCGCAAGCTCATCTGTCGGCTGTGGTAATGATGCTGTGAAACCATCCTTCAATTGCGATGCATGGAAGTGAAGCGACGTCGGGACGAGGAAAGAGAATTCAAGCGAGCCATGAGCCAGAATAAGTGGCCTCAATGACTGTGACGAGCGAGGGGTATTAATGCCCGTTTGTGGGCCGGTAGATGTTCCATACATCCTGTAGTTCTCGTGTCGTTAAAAGTCTATGAGCGAAAGGCTGAAGAAGGCGTCGGGGAAGAAAAATAATAAACGGAAAAGTGCGTAGGTTCTGCTATCGATAAGTATATATATCGGGAAATGAAAATTCGTGCCATGAAGTGAGAGCAGACAATGGAATGAGAGGAGAAAAAGTGTGTATGAGCACATAGTCTGGTTTTCTTTCTTTCTTTCTTTCTTTCTTTTCTTCTTTGGGTGTGTGTGTTACCTACCTATTCCTATCAGAAATTGTGAAATAAACCTCAACTCAAGGGAACCACAGCCGGTCCCGTCGTACAGGATAGATAGAGGAGGGGCGGCCGCCGGAGGAGGAGGAAGGTAGAAGAGTAAAGACAAGAAAGAGAAGGTTGGAGGAGGAAGAGAGGTATGGGGAAAAAGGTACTACGATATGGGGGAAGGGGAGGAAAGAGAGGGGAGGGGGGGAGAGAGGGGACAGTGGAAGAGCAGAAGGAGAGGGTAGAATAAACAGAAGGGAGTGGGATGGAATTGAAGCCTTGAATGGGCAATCAGAGAGCACGAGAGTGGTTCAGCACCTTGCGGTACTAGTAATAATTTTTGAATCCCGGCGCCGAGATAGGGCGGTTGTGCACACTGTTGAACCGGCTGGGCGGAGGAAGAGATCCGCCGACGTAGGCTGGTTGAATAGGAACTGACCGAATTCGGTATGGTGGGTGGCCGCACCTCCCCAAAACTCTGAAATGGTTGGGCTGGACCTGAAGGTGCGGTGACAATACCTGACCATGTCTGACCATTCCTGACCATTCAACAAGGTTGATGGATGCAGTGATGGTTTAGCAATCACCATCCAATCTTCACCAACAGATCTATTGAGTACTTAGTAATGTAGTTACCTAGTAGTTAAGTTAGTATACTGCCTAGTACTACAGCACTGTAGTTATTGTAGCATCATATACCCAAGTACCTACTATGCTGCCGAATTCAACCTGTCAGGTCTGACTCAATTGCAATTCCTATGATGATTGTGGACCAATCATACACTGTCGTTGTAAGCTGGTTCTTTCCTTTTTTTTTTTCTTTTTTCTTTTTTTTTGCATGTTCGTCTTCCATGCTTGTTCTCGGCTCCGAAAGCCTGCTGGAATTCATGCAATGCTTCCGTACCGTATGAAAGTCAACTTCCGCCCCAACACTCACCCAAAAAAACAAAAAAAGAAAGTAAGAGAGAAGGGCGGGGGGGGGGAAGGGGGGACTCAGTTCAAAGTCCCTTCCCATTTCTCAGCTACAATAATACTTTGGTACCCTTCCGGTTGTCGTCGCTACATACTAAGTATCGCCAACCTTTCCGTCACCCCCCCCCCTCTCTCCTCCCATCCTAACTCCCAGGCGTTCAAATAATATTCTTTACAATCGTATTAGTGTATTTTCTCTGGAATTTTATTGTTGATCGCTTCAATTCTCATCCACTTTCTTTGGCACATATCTGGATCGAGGTCAGTCGGCGAATTCATCCCATCCTTTCTCCCCCCCTTCTCCTCCCCCCCCCTCCCTCTTCTACCCCCACTGATAGTGGTCCTGAACTGGGGGTGAGTATTTCTTATTCCCACCCGGAACTGCCGTGGATCAATTTTCATTTTCCTATCCAGCTTCCCTTTCCCGCACCCGCTTGGTTGCCTGCTAAAGCACTTGAGTGGCGCAAGAACACAAGAAAGAGATAAAAACATTTGAAGGTTCAATTAGAGTACGATTTGCATTGACACCATTTAGACTGACCTGTTCATATCTCTAGTTAGGATTGAACCAACCTATATTATCACTTTAATGATATTCATCTTCCTTCCGTTGCCCCAAATCCGACCTACACTTTTCTTCAACTTTCTTCTGGTGTTGATCCTTTGCCTGGCCGCCACTTCTCCCCAACCAATTGAGGCAGAGACTGAAACCAATTCCTATCCTGGTTCAACCGCTTGAAGTTGACCTTCTCCATACCCCATCTCTACGTGGGCATATCCTTACATTTCCATCAACAATATGCGTCCTGAAATTGAGCAAGAATTGGCCCACACCCTGCTGGTTGAGCTGCTGGCCTACCAGTTTGCCTCGCCAGTGAGATGGATCGAAACGCAAGATGTCATACTTGCAGAGAAGCGGACAGAACGGATTGTTGAAATTGGCCCCGCGGATACACTGGGTGGTATGGCAAAACGGACTCTTGCCTCGAAATATGAAGCATACGACGCCGCTACCTCCGTGCAACGCCAAATACTTTGTTATAACAAGGATGCGAAGGAGATTTATTACGATGTCGACCCTGTGGAAGAGGAGGCAGACACTCCTTCAGAGCCCGCTGCTGGGACTCCGCCCCCGGCTGCGCAGGCCGCTGTTGCTGCTGCTCCTGTGGCAGCCGCTGCTCCGCCTAGTGCTGGACCTGCCGCAGCAATTGAGGATGCTCCTGTCACAGCAGTGGATGTCCTCAGGACATTGGTGGCGCAGAAGCTTAAGAAGAGCCTGTCCGATGTGCCTTTGAGCAAGGCCATCAAAGATCTTGTCGGAGGTGGGTACCAGCACGAATTACCTGAGCAATGCTTTCAACTCATACTAATCTGGTGCAAATAGGTAAATCCACACTACAAAATGAAATTCTCGGAGATCTGGGCAAGGAGTTTGGCTCTACGCCTGAAAAGCCGGAGGATACCCCCTTGGATGAGTTAGGTGCATCCATGCAGGCCACATTCAATGGTCAATTGGGTAAACAATCCTCTTCTCTCATTGCCCGCTTGGTATCGTCGAAGATGCCTGGTGGATTCAATATCACTGCCGTTCGCAAATACTTGGAGACGAGATGGGGTCTGGGTTCTGGCAGGCAGGACGGTGTGCTCCTCCTTGCGCTTACAATGGAGCCGGCGTCTCGTATCGGTTCGGAACCCGATGCCAAGGGTTATCTTGACGATGTGACTAATAAGTATGCTGCCAGTGCTGGCATAAGTCTGTCTGCTCCCACAACTGGAGGTGATGGCGGCGCCGGCGCCGGCGGTATGCTCATGGATCCCGCCGCTATCGATGCCCTGACGAAGGATCAACGCGCCCTGTTCAAGCAGCAGTTGGAACTCATTGCTCGCTACTTGAAAATGGATCTGCGCGCTGGTCAAAAGGCGTTCATCAACTCCCAAGAGACTCAGAAGACGCTGCAAGCGCAGCTAGACCTTTGGCAAGCCGAGCATGGCGACTTCTATGCCTCTGGCATTGAGCCAGCGTTCGATCCTCTCAAGGCCCGTGTCTACGACTCCTCCTGGAACTGGGCTCGCCAAGATGCTTTGAGCATGTACTACGACATCATCTTTGGAAGGCTCAAGGTTGTTGATAGGGAGATTGTGAGCCGTTGCATCCGTATCATGAATCGGTCGAATCCTCTCCTTCTAGACTTCATGCAGTATCATATCGACAACTGCCCCACTGATAGGGGTGAAACGTATCAGCTTGCAAAGGAGCTTGGTGAGCAACTTATTGAAAATTGCAAGGAGGTTCTTGACGCTGCTCCTGTCTACAAGGACGTTGCTGTTCCTACCGGACCTCAAACCACTGTCGATGCCCGAGGAAAGGTTGGTTACAAGGAAGTCCCTCGCGCCAGCGCCCGCAAACTAGAGCACTATGTTAAGCAGATGGCTGAAGGCGGTCCCATCTCGGAGTACAGCAACCGCGCCAAAGTGCAAGATGACCTACGCAGTGTCTATAAGTTGATCCGCAGGCAGCACCGCCTCTCCAAGTCTTCACAGCTGCAGTTCAACGCTCTCTATAAAGAGGTTATCCGCGCCCTGAGCATGAATGAGAATCAGATCATTCCACAGGAGAACAGCAACGGAAAGAAGTCTGGCAGAAACAGTGTCAAGCGCAATGGTAGCCCTCGGTCGGGCAAGATTGAGACCATCCCTTTCTTGCACCTGAAGAAAAAGAACGAACACGGCTGGGATTATAACAAGAAGCTCACCGGTGTTTACCTCGACGTTCTGGAGTCAGCAGCTCGATCTGGTCTTACATTCCAAGGCAAGAATGTTCTCATGACTGGAGCTGGTGCCGGTTCCATCGGTGCTGAGGTGCTGCAGGGCTTGATCAGCGGTGGTGCTAAGGTGATTGTCACAACGAGTCGATTCTCCCGTGAGGTCACTGAATATTATCAGGCCATGTACGCCCGCTATGGCGCTCGTGGCTCTCAACTCGTCGTTGTGCCCTTCAACCAAGGTAGCAAACAAGATGTCGAAGCACTGGTCGACTATATTTACGACATTAAGAAGGGTCTTGGCTGGGATCTGGATTTCGTTGTCCCATTTGCTGCCATCCCGGAAAATGGTCGGGAGATCGACTCGATCGACTCAAAGTCTGAGTTGGCCCACCGCATCATGCTCACAAACCTGCTCCGACTTCTTGGTAGCATTAAGACACAGAAACAAACCAATGGCTTTGAAACCCGCCCAGCACAAGTCATCCTTCCTTTGTCTCCCAATCACGGCACTTTCGGAAATGATGGACTGTACTCGGAGTCCAAGCTGGCTCTGGAGACTCTCTTTAATCGCTGGTACTCGGAGAACTGGAGCAACTATTTGACCATCTGCGGTGCTGTTATTGGCTGGACGCGCGGCACAGGATTGATGAGCGGTAACAACATGGTTGCTGAGGGCGTTGAAAAGCTCGGTGTCCGCACCTTCTCACAGCAAGAGATGGCCTTCAACCTTCTTGGTCTCATGGCACCCGCTATTGTCAACCTATGCCAGCTTGATCCTGTCTGGGCTGATCTCAACGGCGGTCTTCAGTTCATCCCCGATCTCAAGGACCTCATGACGAGGCTCCGCACTGACATCATGGAGACCAGTGATGTCCGCCAAGCAGTCATCAAGGAAACCGCCATCGAGAATAAGGTTGTCAACGGAGAAGACAGCGAGGTCCTTTACAAAAGAGTGGTCGCCGAGCCCCGTGCCAATATCAAATTCCAGTTCCCGCAACTTCCTGACTGGGAGAAGGATGTTCAGCCCCTCAATGAGAACCTCAAGGGTATGGTCAACCTTGAGAAGGTGGTTGTTGTCACTGGGTTTTCAGAGGTCGGCCCCTGGGGTAACTCCCGTACCCGCTGGGAGATGGAGGCGTACGGCAAGTTTTCCCTTGAGGGCTGCGTCGAGATGGCCTGGATCATGGGTTTAATCAAACACCATAATGGTCCTCTCAAGGGCAAAGCCTATTCAGGATGGGTTGACGCTAAGTCTGGCGAGCCTGTGGACGACAAGGACGTCAAGCCCAAATATGAGAAGCACATTCTGGAGCATTCGGGCATTCGATTGATCGAGCCTGAGCTGTTCAAGGGATATGATCCCAAGAAGAAGCAACTTCTCCAAGAAATTGTCATCCAGGAAGATCTTGACCCCTTCGAGGCATCCAAGGAAACTGCCGAAGAATTCAAGCGCGAGCATGGTGACAAAGTTGAAATCTTTGAACTGCCCGAATCGGGAGAGTACACTGTGCGCCTCAAGAAGGGGGCTACATTGCTTATTCCCAAGGCCCTCCAGTTCGATCGTCTCGTTGCTGGCCAGATTCCCACTGGCTGGGACGCCAAGCGCTACGGTATCCCAGACGACATCATCGAACAGGTTGATCCAGTCACATTGTTTGTTCTTGTCTGTACTGCGGAAGCAATGCTCTCTGCTGGTGTCACCGACCCTTACGAATTCTACAAGTATGTTCACCTGTCTGAGGTCGGTAACTGCATTGGTTCCGGTATCGGAGGCACCCACGCCTTACGAGGCATGTACAAAGACCGCTACCTGGACAAGCCCCTCCAAAAGGATATCCTGCAGGAATCCTTCATCAATACTATGAGCGCTTGGGTCAATATGCTTCTGCTGTCCTCTACTGGACCGATCAAGACCCCTGTTGGTGCCTGTGCCACGGCAGTTGAATCTGTTGATATCGGTTATGAGACGATTGTGGAAGGCAAAGCTCGCGTCTGCTTTGTTGGTGGATTCGACGACTTCCAGGAAGAAGGATCATATGAGTTTGCAAACATGAAGGCCACCAGCAATGCGGAAGATGAATTTTCCCACGGTCGTACCCCACAGGAGATGTCGCGCCCCACTACCACCACGCGTGCGGGTTTCATGGAGTCACAGGGTTGTGGTATGCAACTCATTATGAGCGCCCAGCTGGCTTTGGACATGGGCGTACCCATCTACGGTATTATTGCCTTGACAACGACCGCCACGGACAAGATTGGACGATCCGTCCCCGCCCCCGGTCAGGGTGTCCTCACCACCGCACGAGAGAACCCTGGCAAGTTCCCGTCGCCGTTGTTGGATATCAAATACCGCCAGCGCCAGCTTGACCTGCGTAAGAAGCAAATCAAGGAGTGGCAAGAATCAGAGCTGCTTTTCCTCCAGGAGGAGGTGGAGGCCATGAAGTCCCAGAGCTCTGAGCCATTCGATGAGTCGGACTATCTGCAGGAGCGGGCTCGGCACATTGAGCGAGAAGCTGTCCGACAGGAGAAGGATGCCCAGTTTAGTCTTGGCAACAACTTCTGGAAGCAAGACCCCCGTATCGCCCCTCTCCGCGGCGCCCTTGCTACCTGGGGCCTTACTGTCGACGACATTGGTGTTGCATCCTTCCACGGTACCTCTACCGTGGCCAACGACAAGAACGAATCTGATGTCATTTGCCAGCAAATGAAGCATCTGGGACGCAAGAAGGGCAATGCGCTGCTGGGTATCTTCCAGAAGTATCTCACCGGACATCCCAAGGGCGCTGCCGGTGCTTGGATGTTCAACGGCTGCTTGCAGGTTCTTGACAGTGGCTTGGTTCCAGGGAACCGTAATGCTGATAACGTGGACAAGGTCATGGAGAAGTTCGATTACATTGTTTATCCCAGCCGTAGCATCCAGACTGATGGTATCAACGCTTTCTCAGTCACATCGTTCGGTTTCGGTCAGAAGGGTGCCCAGGTCATTGGAATCCACCCCAAGTACCTGTACGCAACTCTGGACCGGGCACAGTTCCAGACTTACAAGGCCAAGGTTGAGGCCAGACAAAAGAAGGCCTACCGTTACTTCCACAACGGTCTCATCAACAACAGCATTTTCGTTGCCAAAGACAAAGCTCCCTATGAAGATGCTCAACAGAGCAAGGTCTTCCTCAACCCCGATTACCGCGTCGCGGTTGACAAGAAAACATCAGAACTCAAGTTCCCTGCAGTCCCTCCGAAGGCTAGTGACAAGGGAACTGAAAGTACAAGATCGATGATTGAGTCTCTTGCGAAAGCTAACGCCGCCGAGGACTCGAAGGTAGGTGTCGACGTTGAGAACATTGAGGGGTTCAACATCGAAAATGAAACCTTCATCGAGCGAAACTTCACTGCTAGCGAGCGAGAGTATTGCCTGAAGGCACCATCTCCCCGTGCATCGTTTGCTGGTCGGTGGAGTGCCAAAGAGGCGGTCTTCAAGTCTCTGGGCGTTAGCAGCAAGGGCGCCGGCTCTCCGCTGAAGGAAATTGAGATCGTCACTGATTCAACTGGTGCGCCTGTTGTCCAAGTAAGTTCCACTTCCAACCTGTCATCTTCGCGTCTGACGCTAACATGTTGCTAGCTTCATGGTGTTGCTGCTGAAGTTGCCGAGCAGGCTGGTGTCAAGCAAGTCAGTGTTAGCATCAGCCACAGTGATACGCAGGCTGTCGCGGTTGCTGTGTCGAGATTCTGATCTTTCGGCGAGCGAACAAGCTGCTTTGATGTAATCGGAGTGTCTGAATCATGTCTACGTTTCTTGACCACATATTCATATAGATAGATCAATCCAAGCCTGGCTTTCATCTGGCGAACCAGCCGGATCTTCCTTTGAAGTGTTTTGCCTTCTTCAGCTTTAGGAGTATATCTTGAGCAAGGGTAGTATGTCGGCATAGCTGAAGTAATCCGGCCACGTGATGCAACGCGGTTACCAGGCTGCTTCCCATGTTGATAATTCAGTCAGTTCCACCAACCACCAACCACCAAGAGAATTGAGAACACGTTCCATACACCTTACCTCTGAGACCTCAAAATCGCCGATATAGTACACATAGAATTTCACGCTCTTGATACTCGCAATTGAATACTCAATCCTGTTCGAAATGCTTGACTCAAATTTGTATTTGTCAATATTACTCAGGTGTCACTTCGAAGTACTGATAGATGTAATGGTATAGCATCTGACATCTTCTGTTTAGAACCTACAGTATTTGAAAGTGCGAAGACAGTCAATTAAGGATTTATCAATAGCCCCTCTCCTATGAAAGATAGGCCTAACTCATGCTGCAGATGTTGTTTAGAGTGAAGAAGTTCACTATCATATAATAACGTATTGCCTAATGACCATGCGAAAAGAGGGGGCCAGAACCAACGGTGTTACTTACCCTCTACCAGATGCTCTACTCAAGGGACCCCAGTTTTCCCGAGGGTTAAGCTGATATCGAACAAGACGCTTTCTCGCTGAAAGCTCCTTCCCTAAACTCTCATCAAAAACCACTTCCAAAGTGCTAGGATGAGGTCTAGCTGCGGCTTTGACTCGGGCCCCTTGTCCAGAAATAGACGTTCTGGAATCGTGATGGCCATTGTTCTGTGTATCGCGTACCGATGTAGTTCCTGACGCTCGATGGGCACCGGCCCGTGTCAAAGCAGCTTCAAGCCTGCTAACTACATCCGTAATATTGTGCTCTTGCTCCATTACCAACTGAAGCTCCTTCTTCAACGACTTTAGCAGTTGCTGATCGCTGTCTCCATCTGTGGGAACCTTTCGGCATTTCGACATGATCACAGCCCCAGGACTTCCGGGTCTGAGAGCGCCCTCCCTGATCGGAGACTTCTGTCTGACCCATTCCCGCATAATCTCCCAAATCACATCCCAGGGTGCGTCAGTCCGAATTGTGTTTGGTTTCGCATGGGTGCGAGTGGCTCGGTAGCCCAAATGTCGAAGAGCCCCGCGCATCGCATCGATGGAAATGGTAGCAGTACGAAGCACCTTCGATATCGCACTCAAGCTAAAGTAGAATGGGGTTTTGTCACTCAAGGCGGGGTCAACCCGTGGAATAATGGCAGCAGTTTCGGCCCCTGCCGCCGGTGCATCGGTAGGCTTCTGTGATGTGTTGGCGTCGCCAATGTCGAAGTTCAAATCTTCCTCGAGTGCCGTTGTTAACATGCCCTCAATTCTATCAACAGTTTGATAAACATCTCGGTGTAGCTTAGGAAGCATATCAAGGATATTCTGGATGAAATGTGGATTGTGAAGTGGACCGGCCCACATTGGGCCCCCTACATGCATCTTCGAACCGCAATGTTCGCAAAGGGAGTTTGAAGTTGGACCCTGCGCAAAGCCAAAATGAGGAAAAGGCTTTCCTGTTTTGTCAAGCTTCTGCTTGGTCTGCGTCAGAGGCTGGGTTGACCATGCCCCGCAGCCCTCGTCGCAATTGAAGACCGTCATCATATTTCCAGAAACAAACTTAACCTGGGCAGGGGAGCGATGAACCCGGACAAAGACTCGCGCATAGAAATCGATTGATAGAGATAATAGAGGCTCGATTGCAAGTCCATATCTGGCGGCAGACATGGCAAGCGAATGTAGGATCAAGCGCAGTCCCCCTTCGTGGCAATGCGGTCCTTTGACCGGGACGCCACCATACAAGGCGAAAGCCTTCTCAGGATACCCATGCGAAGCCCACACTCCTGCATCAGTACAAGTCACACAAAGAAGGCCTCCATCCTTTACTGCCTGGACTGCAGCGTCCATGAAAGGTGAAGCAGTGCCGTATGGATCCAAATCAATGACATCGAATTTGCCGGAATGGGGCACCACGTCCTGACTCTTATCTTGCTCCAAAAGGCTGTACATGAAGACGCGTGCATCTCCTAGGTTGGGGTGGATACGGTCTTCGAGTTTGTTGTATTCGATATTTGTCTTCATTGATCGAATAGCAGATTCTGAAAGGTCGTTTGCAACAACGTAGGAAGCAAATGGGATCTCCAAGGCATAACGTAGCGCACGCAAGCCTGTAGCAGAAAGAGCATCTAGGATTGTGAATGACGGCGCAATAATCTCTTCCGAAGGCAAGTCGGGAACTGCTGCAGCGGCGGGCTCAGTTGTCTGTTCGCTTTGGTCCTTTGGCTGGTTGGCTTCGTCCTCTCGCTTGCGCTTTTTACTCTTTGTCCCACCACTTTCTGCTAGCCTCTGCCTTCGCTTTTCCGCCTTCTGTTTCTTCACAGTCAAGACATGCTCCCCAAAGGCCCGGATTGCAAGAACGCTAAGGTCTCGGTTAAATTGCTGAATAGGGTTGTAGAAAACGGATTGAGATTCATCGTCAGCCTTGAGATCCTTCCTCGTGGCCTTGGAGGCAGCGTCTTGAGAGGGAGGGTTCAAAATATACGCCTTTCCTTCTTTTACAGCTCTGAAGTCCGTGCCAGCGTATTGGATTAATTGCTCCGAGGTGTCCATGGCGCGAACTTCAGTATGGAATTGGGGCGGATGATTTCGCCGAACGGGGCCTGGCGTATTCACCGTTGGGCGCAGAAGCGAGATTGACAGAACAGTAGGTACTGAAGATTGAGAAAAACAATCGACGGGTCTGAAACGAGCAAGGACAAAATGAAAAAGGCTCATTGACTGACCTGAACGTCACAGAGAACAAGTGAAGTAGGGAGAGAATGGATATTCTGGGAGAAGTAAATTTTTCTTTTCTCCCCGCGGGGCGAGTTTGAATGGTACGAGCTCCCGGCGCCGCGCGCAAAAATAGAAAAAGGCCCGGGGTGGGGGGGCACTCTTACACCTCAGGATACCCAGCACCCTGAGCCCGATCAAAGAGAGTCTATGTAAGACAACGTTCATGTCAGGCACTTGGAACATGGGGATCTATTGTACCATCGTTGCCATTGTCATTGCCATCATCATCATCATCATCATCATCATCATTATTAGTACCACGCCTTTCCAGGTCGCATTATGTCCAAAGGCATTCAATCTCATACACAGAATCCATGAACAAGCAGGCACCCCTCATATCCAGGATCCGATGATGGGAACTTGATTGTAGATATCGTTCCATCCACTGGCTTCCCACCCAGAGCCCTGACCGGCACGGCCAATGACTCCTAGAGCGCCAGCCAGCCAGATCGATGCTCCCACTGCAGCAATCGTATTTACAGTCCACCACATTCTCTTCTGTCTGCGGCATCGTTGCTCACTTCCAGTATAGCCAAGGTAACCCTCGAGAGACCCCTTTTTTGAATTGCGCTGCTTCCGGAGGGTTGTGACCTTCCAGCCCATCCAGGAAGCCCACCCACCAACAAAATGCCATACCCCAACAGCGACAAAAACAAGATAATATATGTTCCAGAAAATCGGAGACCGCGCAATGCCGTGAGCCACATAGCCCAGCCCCACTCCCGAGCTTCCTCCGTCGACCAGGATCGGACTAATACGATTGACGAGGACGTGCACACCAAGTAACGGAATGAGTGAATACCCCAAGCGTGCCTGCAGGCTCATCCGTGGCCAGAACGTGAGCGCATACCGCTGGGACCGGGTTTCTGCGCCATAGAGTCGGGCCCGCCGTGAGGAGCGGATATTGCGCAGAGCGATGCCAGAAAGGACATGAACCAAAACCGGCACAGTCAGAACAACATGTTCGAGTGACGGGGATTGATAGAGGGGCCTGGTGAGCAACAGATAATTTTCGCTTGCGCTTACGGAGCGGGTCGCGAGAGGAAGTATTGAGGTATTAGCAACGTGCAGAGCAAGAAATAAGCTAGGCGGATATGTCGAGTATCGTTGGAATGCAGATACTGAGGTTCAGAAAGCAAGGCGTTAGTCCACGCAGGGTCAATCGCGACGGAAGGCTAGATGAAAAGGCAACAGAGGAGTCGTACGCCATGAATCCCAGCTATGCCCGCGGAGACCTAGGCCGAGAGACGACGGTGCGCTTATGTTCCGGCCCAATGAATCTCGAGACGCTTCTTGAAACTCCGGGGAATATTCGCCGCGCTCAAGGCCTGGGAACTCATCCTCCACCGGAGAAGGGTCGATTTCTCGCATGGAAATGAGTGACCGGGTGTCGATGTCCTCCGGCTTGTGCGAGAGGCCGTCTGGGGCAGACGCCATGGCGACAAGAGCACCGGGATTAGTTTGATATGTGTGGCAATGCAAAAAAAGGGAGATATCAATTGGTTCAACACATTATTCCGTGGGACTAAACGTGGGCGATTTCCATTTTCAGTGACAAATTTCGAGAAGGAGAGGGAAAACAGACGTCACGTTGGGATGAAAGCTGGGATAGTTGTACAGTACTTGTACTGTACAGTACAGTACTCAGTACATGCATAATTTGTAGCACGATGATTGGCATTTAAACTACGCGTACCGAACCGAACCGACCGGTGACGGGTATCTTTTTCCGGCAACAGCACGAAACAGAATGTGAAGGTATCGTCTGACGTCGGTCCGTATTTCCTACTGATACATGTTTGGGTTGATTGCGATGATGGTAATGCGAACTCATGCATACATTCATCAGAGAGCGAGTTCCGACATCCTTCCATACTAGCGCTACCCTTCCAACAGTGCTCACAGATTTTGAGATAGACTTGACAGATTTTCCACTTGGTTGCAGTTGCCAGTGATCCAGAGTACAGTGCTCTTACGCTATCATCATCTTGTTCCAAGATGGCGCCTGCAAGTGC